CTGGTCAGTCTTTGCAATAAAGTATATAGTGTAAGATAAGAACTCCACACTGGTCAGTCTTCACAACAAAGTATGTAGTGTGAGATAAGAACTCCACACTGGTCAGTCTTCACAACAAAGTACATAGTGTATAATAAGAACTCCACACTGGTCAGTCTTCACAACAAAGTACATAGTGTATAATAAGAACTCCACTCTGGTCAGTCTTCACAACAAAGTATGTAGTGTGAGATAAGAATTCCACACTGGTCAGTCTTCACAACAAAGTGCATAGTGTATAATAAGAACTCCACTCTGGTCAGTCTTCACAACAAAATGCATAGTGTATAATAAGAACTCCACACTGGTCAGTCTTCACAACAAAGTATATAGTGTATAATAAGAACTCCACACTGGTCAGTCTTCACAACAAAGTATACAGTGTAAGGTAAGAACTCCACACTGGTCAGTCTTCACAACAAAGTATATAGTGTATAATAAGAACTCCACACTGGTCAGTCTTCACAACAAAGTATGTAGTGTGAGATAAGAATTCCACACTGGTCAGTCTTCACAACAAAGTATGTAGTGTGAGATAAGAATTCCACACTGGTCAGTCTTCACAACAAAGTATATAGTGTATAATAAGAACTCCACTCTGGTCAGTCTTCACAACAAAGTATGTAGTGTGAGATAAGAATTCCACACTGGTCAGTCTTCACAACAAAGTATATAGTGTAAGATAAGAACACCACACTGGTCAGTCTTCACAACAAAGTATAACCACACCAATAAATGATGACTTACATAGCTTGTAGAGTCTAGGTTTTGTTCATAAACAATTTCAAGACTATAATATTTGTAACACTGTTTCTTTGTGCAGACCTAACTAAAAGGGTCTTCAAAGTTCCAGAATATATGAGTGTCAATTACTAAAACAACACATGTGGTAGTGTTAAAACAACACAGGTACTAGTGTTAAAACAACACAAGTAGTAGTGTTAAAACAACATAGGTTGTAGTGTTAAAACAACATAGGTAGTAGTGTTAAAGCAACACGGGTACTAGTGTTAAAACAACATAGGTAGTAGTGTTAAAGCAACACAGGTACTAGCATTAAAACAACATAGGTAGTAGTGTTAAAGCAACACAGGTACTAGTGTTAAAACAACACAAGTAGTAGTGTTAAAACAACATAGGTTGTAGTGTTAAAACAACATAGGTAGT